TGGATAGATTTTAGCAGTACTGTAGCTTTTGGCCAGCTGAGTAAGTGAAGAGGTTTGGAAATAGTCAATATTGATCTAGGTTAACATCTTTATCTGACTTACTGAAGAAGAAGTTCTAGAGTCAAACGGGATTTTAAGAGCTGGTGTTCTTCTGGTTACAGTTTGATATGTGACACAGGCAAGGATTCCCTCTTCTGAGCTTCATGCTCATGTGGAAGCTTTGTTTGATGTCTTGTACTTGAGCCACTCTGAAATGCTTATTCTGAAAGAGCCAGGTTTGCTTTAGGTCTTCTGGTAGATACATTAAAGTGATCATCAGGCAGTTCTGGGAGAATTTGGTGTGTGGTGTGGACAGATCTGTGCAGACATGCAGTTGTACTGAACTTGCCACGTGTGGCCTATAAAAACTCTAGTGTTACTGCTTCGTCCTGCTCACCCTCTTAAATTATGTTAAGCAGTGAATTTTGACCTCTGTAAATGTTGTGTTGGAATTGCTCGGTCTTGTGACAGTGCTTCAGGGCTGTTTGTGGTGTAGCTACACTGGTGTGGAGCTGGTTGCCCCCAGAGGGGGAGTGCAGGTGTGCTGGGAGATCCTGCAGCTACAGCTGGCCAGTGCTGGTTGGTCAGGGGAGCACACTTTGTTCTGGTGCATCTTTACTGAGTGCAGACTGTGACAGAGACCAAGTTGACAAGAACAACCCCGTTGTCTAAGGAAATGGGACATGGAAGAAACCTCCTCTGACCTCCTCCCTAACCCGATGCTTATATTGCAGATTCCCATTAATTCCTCTTGTGGTGCAGTTCCTGTAAATTTGATGTCTTTCACATTTGCTTGATTCCAGGTTAAGAACATTAGATAGCAGTTATCTTTCGTATTAATGGTAAGTTCCTCATGTCCCAACATTTCATTTGGCTGTTCCTGCAAGCAAGTGTTCAGATGTGTTTGAGGTTGACAACTTCAGTTGTCAGTGACTCCTGTAAGGTGAGAAAGGTAAAGGTAGCTTTGTGCAGGTAGTAAAAAAGAGGAAGCTGCTTTGTTCCTTCTTGTGAGCCAGCATAGGCAGGTGATGCTCATGCATTTTTGAAATGTTATTAGTTCTGTAAGTCTTCTGTAAGGCTTCTTGGATTCTCGACTGAAAAGGACAGAAGCTTCATTAAACTGCTGAAGGGCAGAGCGTGGGGCAGCTGGTGGTCATCCCACAGGAATCATATTTGTGGTTCTTGGGCTGCCAAAATAGTTCACATGGAGATGTGGTCTGCTGACACAGAGAGAAATCAATCCTGTTATTTAAAATTGCTTGTTGTTTATTTCTGAGGTAGCAGGTGTCGTGGGGCTTTTCAGGTATTTTGTAGCAGGGATTTGTTGTTTGTGCTGTCTGAGGGAAGGTCTGAATATCTCCAGTTTGTTGATAGGGCAGGGGAAAAATCAGTGCAGGCAGATCCCATCTAGTGTATCAGGTGCTTTGCCTTGGCAGGGTCTGGGTGCTGCAGGGTCTGGGTGCTGCATGCTCCAGAGGGTGATGCCTGGCACAGCTGTGGCTGGGGAGAGGGAAGTAAGTGTTACAGCTCAGGTAACTGAGCCAGGAAGGTGCAAACAACCTGAGGCCAGGAAAGGTTCTGTTATCCTGCTTTTTTAGCCTGGTTTCTGAGAAGATTTTTCCTTTGTCTGTCGTGTATTAGTAATTTATTTTGTAACTTTTCACTTTTTTAATGGCAAATTTAACAAAGGATTTAAGTTACTAAAGTTTTATAGAAGCAGATTCAAGGCCAACGAGGAGGGGTCTTCAAAGCCAGATCTGCTGAAGGGAAACCCCCCTCTGCTGGCAGAGCAGGTTGTGTGTCCCATTTGGACTGCCAGGCAACATGTGTGCAAGCAAGACTCAGAACTGGTGGATAATGGACTTGACTGGGGAGGCAGGGGCTACTGGAGGGTGTGAGCTGGGAGGGGTTGGGTTGTTCTGTGTGCTGGGGGAGGAAGGGGGTTCAGGAACAGTTGTAGAAAACTGGTTTTGTTGGTTCTAAAGCAAGTTGTTCCCAAAACACCAGAAGCTGATAGCTGGAGTTTTATCTTTTTTTTTTTTTTTTTATGGAAAATTGGTGACTTAATACTTCAGACTGATATGATATTTAGTGGCTGAGACACATCTTTTATGAAATACAGAAGTAACCTACCTGCATGAGAGATCTGCTTTCCAATACCTGTGTTTTTGCTTTTCATACGTAACTTGTTTCTAGCTTGACAGGAATTTGCAACAGGGCTGAGGATTGTTTTGCCTGATGCAAAGTAAATTTCACAAAGAGCCTGTAGTTCAAATGTGGACTTTGTTTGTGATAGCTTAATAGAAGAGATTATGGAGAAGGAGTACAGTGCTGTTGGCTTGTGGTTTGAATAAGCAGTGCTTCTGTAAAGTCTGCTATAAAATAACTAACCACTGTCTGAGATTTCACTGATCTAGACACTGAGGTTTTCTTGGACTGTTTCAAAGGTAGAGCTGGAGGATATATAGAAGCAAATTCCATTTGCTTATGGTAAATACTTCTCATAAATTTAAATATGAAATTAAGTTAATAAAACAAATTGAGCTCTCTTGGCAAACCTACAAATGGGAATTTTTAATCTACTTTCTTGTACCTTCTAATTGAAGGCTTTTACTTAATTTATTGAAACTCAGAGTGGTCCAAGCAGCCTTGTATCCATGAACTAGGTTTAATCCAAAATCCCCTAGTGAAGCTGTAAAGAAGCTGCAGAGAAGCTTCTTAACATTGCAGATCCTTAGACTTTTATGGGAGCTTTTCAGTGAGGGCCCTTGCAGTGTCAAGTACATTCAGAGACTGCTTCACACTGCTGAAAATGTGGCACTTCTGAGCCTTGTTAGGAATCACACACCAACAGGGACACTATTGAGAAGGTGGGTATTAATTTTCAAGACCTCCTTTTGGTAAGAAGAAATGCATATGGGACTAAAAGTCATGGCAGAGTTCAGTTTTAGATGTTAGGAAACTATATGAACAATTCTAAATGCTTTGTCTTGCATTTCTTCAATCACTATTCTGGAAACATTTTTAAAGGACATTCAAAGTCATGTCTGCAAATTGAGAAGTGACACAGGCTGGCACCATGAAAAGAGAGGGGATTTGAGTTACTTAAAACATATAGCAAGAGGTCTTAAAGGTTTATTTGAAAGCTTCCTTGGAGTTAGTTCAGATTGCCTTTTAAATTGTTTAAGAGGAGTGAGGCTGGGGTGTGGCAGCAGTGCCCTGGCACAGGCTTGTCATCCTGCTCTGAATCACACAGGGCAACTCCAGCACCACTTGCCTGCTTCAGGGCTGGGGAGCCACAAGTCAGAACCAGGCAAAAGTTGATGTTGGATTATACTTGTATTAATGCAATTCATTCTGCTTAGTATTCTGTATATTGATCCCACTTAACAATAGTTCTTGTAAATTACATTCTTTATAAGAAGGACAAGTTCTGTCATTAAATTCTGAGCAGTTTATAGTCCTTTTTTACTGATGTTTAATTTCTTGAAGTTTATTCTAGGATTAGGACTGCAGTCTTCCTTCTTGCTAGCTGTTTGCCAAATCTTTTTAGATTTTCAAAGTTACCATAATTCAGGTGTGATTTGCATTATTTTGGTGTGAGAAGGGAGGTGATCATACTCAGTCTTCTTTTCTCCAATTGCTTGCAAAAGTACTTGGTTCCTTGTGCATTTTAGTGGATTTTGGGGTCTCCTTGGTAGAATTAGGAGATGATTTAGCCTCTTCAGTAGAGAAATTGGGTGGAAATAGAAATATACAGTCTAAATACTTTGCTTTTCAGTTTGAAGCAGAAAACTTCCACTTAAAAACTTATAAGGCTGGAAAAATTGGTTCATCTTAAACCATGGCTTTTTAACTGTCTTGAAGTGTATGTTATAAGATGTGAGATTAAAGCTGTATTCCACAGACTGAAATTTAATACTTACTGTCCTTAGAACTGCTGCAAGGCCAATGAGATTCTTAATGAAGTGTTGTATGTGGAAGGAGCTTTCACCGTGCACTGACCTTGCAGCTATGAGCAGATCACTTGGGGACACTGGCTGTCAGGGAGGGCTTGAACTTGTCCTCCCATTAGCAGTATTTTTTTCACCTGCAGAATAACTAGGCTCAGATTCTGGGGTCTGAAGTTGCTGATTTTTTAAGCTTGGGTTTGCTGTGGAACACACCAGGATCCCAGAAGAAGCAGGAGCATAGAGCTAGGGCAGGGAGAGGGCAGGAATTCAGTGTCCTGCATTTCCTGATGCTTGATGCTGGTTAGTCTCTTGCTAAGGAAAGCCTGAGTGTGTTCAAGTAGTGTTTAATGTCACTCTACAAAGAATTCTCACTTGGAGACAAGAACTGTAAGTTGCACCTGCAGTATCTAGAAATGTGGTAATACAGAGAAAGGAAAACAGACTGTTGTATGCAAGGTAGTGATATGTGTAATATAGTTGTCTGGCTCTTCAGTAGTGCATTTGGGAGCTGGGCAACATGAGACAATTGTCACATGTGCTGTGACATTTTATCACAGTAAGACTGAAAAATAAACAGTTCTTACTTAAAATCCAGATAACATCCAGTGTGGGAGGGAAGTATCATCATAGCTGAGATTCTTTGGGATGTGCAGGATGTCTTTGCAATGTCTGCTTAGGTATTGTTGTGTGGTGTTGGGTCTTTTTGTGTTTGTTTTTAAAAACCCTCCTCTGGGCAGCATGGCTCCCTTAGGTGTGAGGTGCTGCACTCACACCTCTCTTCATGTGTAAACAAGTGCCATCCACAGCCTGTTGGATCAGGTTGTACCTAGTCCCCCTTGGTACCAGCTGCTTGGTTTTCCACGATAACCCTGCACTTCATGTGGGACAGCAGTGGTCATGTTAGAATATATGTCTTATTTTTTTCCCAACAGTGATGAATTGAAAATACTGATTGTAAAGCAACAGGTGCCCAAATACAAGTTAATTAGTTTCACTGTTTTACAGATGGGGTCGAGGATTCGGTCTGTTTGGTTCCATCTTTGGGAAGGACAGTGCAATAAATCAGTCAAACAGTGTTTTTGGACTCGTGTTTTATATACTACAAATGCTACTTGGTAAGTATTAATTCAGTTTAGAGCTTAATTGCACAATCTGCAGGACACCAGATAAACATGTGATTTTTATCAGTCTAACCTAGTCCAAAGGGCTTAAAAACCCAACTGATAATGAGCAATTGCATTTTCTGCTCTAATGCAATGAATAATATAAGCATCAAGACAGTTGCTGCGCTGGTATTTTCACTTAAATATATTTAGCATTGGATTGCACAATAGAAGAGGGAAGAAATAAAAGTGGAATGTACAAGTTTTGCTGGAGTGATAGAGACTGCAGGCAAAAAAGTGTGTGAAATGTTACGTGTGCATCTTTCTGCTGTCAAGCTGTTAACACTGCTAGACAGAGCCTGACCAACCTGTCACTCTCCCACCACTCAGGAATACAGAAGATGCTAAATGCCACACATACTTCTTGTCAAAGAACTGTGGTGCAGACCCTGGGAGCTCCCCTCCACATGGCCGTTTGCCAGCCACCTTGAACTTGTGGCATTTCCAACAGACTTCTATGTGACACCAACTTGCTGAGTGGCCTCCAGGTGGAATTGGAGCTCCTGGGCTCGTTGCTGTGTGTGGCAGGGACAGGAGCAGCAGCAGTAACTTTCTCTCTCTCGTTGCAGGTATGACAGCAAGTGCAGTAGCAGCTCTAATCCTCATGACCTCCTCCATAGTGTCTGTAGTAGGGTCCCTGTACTTGGCATACATTCTGTACTTCGTGCTGAAGGAATTTTGCATTGTCTGCGTCCTCACATATTTGCTGAACTTCATTCTCTTTATCATCAACTACAAACGACTAGTTTATTTGAACGAGGCCTGGAAACGGCAGCTCCAACCCAAACAGGAATAACACCTGTTTGAACTTGTGACTGACAGTCTGAAGACCCAACTTCCATTAAGTTTATTTTGCAGTAATTTTTTATTCTCCATATCAGACACTTTCCCTGGGAATCATAACTGAATTTTTAATTATAAATTTGAAGGGGCCCTAGATAATTTTTTTGTGCTAATCTTCAATTTAAATGTGGTTAAGAAAGAAAGCTCTCATGCAATCAAAGACAAGCTTTAACTTTACTTTGAAGGAGGTTTAGCCACAGCAAAGCCTAGACTCTTCCCCCTCCGCCTGTGAAATGGGTAACACTGCTATGAAATATCCTGTATATAAATTCAGGTATAACAATATGTGGTCATGACATTAAATATTCTAGACTAGCATTACCATATTTAATGTTGCCATGTTTACAGTATGTGTATTACTTTTTTTTTTTAGCTGATGGACTCTAGATTTGACTAGGACTTATCCTGTAAATAAAATTAGAACTCTTGGTTTCATCCCTGGAGAACTCACTGTACAATCAGTGTTGTTAGCCTAGGAGCTGCCAGCTCACAGACGACTGACCTGGTGGAAGAAGTGACCTCTCTGGAGACACCGTGTTGCTGTGCTCACTGCTAGTGCTTTCACATGGATGATGGTTGGGGTTGGTTCCATTCTTTCTTCTTGGTTGTTTGGTTGGTTTTTTTTTTTGTCTCTGGTAACAAAAATGGAATTAAAGCTGAAACCTGAAGTGTGCTGATAAAACCACAGCTACGTTAATGTCTGTACAGAATGAAAACAGCTGAATGTGGTGCCACTGGGATGTTATGTGCAGGTTGGGGGTTGTCTCAAAGAGCACTCTTTGGAAGGACTAATTTCCATGCAGAGCTGTTTCATTTTTCATCTGCGGTCAACCAGTGTTACTGATGTTTGATGTTATATGGATCCTGCAGCAGAGAATTGCAATTTGCAGTGGAAACCACTGAGTGGGATAACCAAGGAGTGCACTGGAAAAACAGTTGCTTGATTGGTCTCTGTCGGGATCTGTGGTTTGTGCTATATTGGGAAATGAACTTTAGGCCTGACACACTAAGGTCCCTTGGAAGGGCAACCTGTTCAGTGGGATGAGTAAGTAAATGTGCTCCTGGAAATGAAATGTGATCTGATGCTATCATTGCTCTTTCTAATAACTAATTGGAAAAAAAAAAAAAAGAAATTAAACTGCAGATATAAATAAAAGGAACAAAATTGTAAATGTTGTTTCTGCACTCAGTATTCTAAGGCTGAATGTTAAAAGTGCCTTCTGTCTTCAAATCTTAAACCAAATACTTTGTGTTGAACTGAGCAGGCAGAAGTGTCCTTGCTTCAAAAATGAACAAACAAACAAAATTCCAAGCAAACTTGCTGGGGATAGAAAAGTGTTAAGAGCTCTATCTTAGTTCTTAGACTGAGGAGTGGTAGCAATATTGTTTCAGTTAAATCAGTTTGGTAGAGGATTGATGATGTGATTTGGAGAAATAAAACACTTGTGTTCCAGACTCTGAGACACCAAAATGTGTCTGTTCAACTACTTACTGCAATTGGTGCTGTGCTGCTTATTGCCCTCAGCAGCTTCTAAACATGAAGAATTCCAACTGCATACCCACTTACTTAAAGAATTAGTTTAACTTTAGGATTGTGTTCTTAAACATGAATGTCAGTGACACACTTGGCGTTGTATGGCTAAGTGGATTATGAACACTAAGTTGCTGAGGATAAACTTGACTGTGAAACATGCAGTGTTCCATAGAGAAAATAGACATTTTAGATTGAATTCACAAAATAGTATTTAAATTACTACTGAAGTAATTTTCTGGTTTGTATCAAGGTTGTAGGTGGAAGCTGCTTCGATGTATAGAGTTCTGTGGTATGAGTAACATCTGTTGCATGTAACACTAAATTACTTGTCCCTCTTGTCTAACAGTTTTAGACAACAGCTCATTAAATGCATTTTGTATTGACCAGAGTATAGTTAAAGCTTGTCTTGATGTTTAGTTCTGTCTCTCAGATGCCTTGAACTTTGATATGAGGGGAGTGAATGATGTTAAACTGGTTCCTTGAGGCTTTACTTTGTTCTCTTAACAAGCTTTGAGGCAACATCACTGTTTAATATGTTTGTGTAGGTTTATTTTGATGCATTCCTGTGGTCTACACTAAGGCATCTTTCCATCCAAGGAAGAGGTGAACACATGCTGCCTGCAGTGGTTAGTCACAGTGCTAATATCTCAGAACCAGCAGCAGTGGAGACAAGTCTAATTAATGATTGCTTGGTCCAATGTCTGGGTGTAGTGCACACCAAAAAAAACCCAGGAAAAAAAGCACTATCAGCTGAAAGTGTAGGTGTTGACTAACTTCACTGTGTCTTGTGCTTGTCTGTGTGGGCATAGTCTGTTAATTCAGTTTGTTCAGTAAAATTGTTTAGGGCCAGATTTTCAGCAGTGGTGTCTGCAGTCCTTGTGTATGTGCACGTGGGGATCAAATGGAAATTGAGTTTGGTCTCTGGAAGAATTTTCAGCTACACTTTGTGCACGAACTTGCAAATCTGATCCTTAATTGTGAACTCTCTTGTCTTGTGTGCTTTTCTTGCAGTTACTTTTTACTGGAAGAGATTTGCTAGAAATGGCCCTAACTCTTCTACTTTCTTGTGCTTCAGAAATGCAGTTGGCCTGAATAAAGGGCAAAATAATCTTAGCAGTAGAAGTTTGGACCTTTTTGCTTCCAGTTCTTGGACTCTTTCCTCCTTGCTCCCACCGCTAGGAACAGCTCATTTCTTCCAGTAAAATGGCTCAGGTTACAATTCGTGATGTGATGGAAATCAGACAAGTGCTTCATGCAGCTGCCCCCTGCCTGCCCCACACTGAAACAAATGTCATGACAAATGTGTGGTTCGTATTAATTTGAGCCTTACAAATCCAAAGGGAAATTCTGAGAAATAAGAGTATGGGTGAAACAAGCTATGAAGCAAGAGCTGGTGTGGCAGAGGCCCGAAGGCAGCGTCGATCCACAGGTTCTGGTTGTGGTTTCAACACTCAGGAGAACAGAGGGGGAAAAATCCACCATCTACAAACAGTGGTTCTGAGTTTGGGCTCTTGCTCCTCCTCCCTGGCTCTCACAAGTTCTGCAGGGAAGGGTGGATTGGAAAGGCAAAAGGACCTCATCCCAAAACCTGCTTAGGAATTAGACATTCCTGAAATCCTCTTACTGTAAGGTACTTGCTACTCTTGAGGCCAACAAAGTATTCAAGTCTCATTTAGGAATTCAATGTTCTCAGAAGTTTCTTACTGTAAAGTGTTTTCCTTGCTAAGGCCAATGAAACATTCCCTGCCACCTTTGATACCCAGAGTGATGATAAATCTCTTATTAGGAGGTTTCTGCATCCTGTTGTACACATTTGTCTTCTGCTGTACAGAGTCCCTTGACTGTTCAAAACAGCTGGTGAGGTGCTTCAGGCAGCAATTGATGCTCAGAACTTCTATGGGCTAAAGGAGAAGAGAGATCTGATAGCTTTGGTTCTACCAAGCTTGTTTGAATGTGACCTGGTCTAAACTGGTCCAGAAAAGATGAAGTATTATGTTACCTTAAAGCTGTATTAAGCATGGCCTAAATATTAGGTGTTTCTTCTGTATAGTATGTTCCATCAACTATTTATTACTAGTGCTTTAAACTCCAAATTAAACATCCATTTAAGTGGAGTCACTGGGCAGATGTTCCTTTTATCAATATAAGTTGAGAGATTCTCTATTGGAGGTTTAGGAAACAATTTTGCTAACAGGTAAAACAATGTAAATATGTATGAATTCTATTTGTTGCACATAACTTTTTGGTATAAAAAATAAATGTAGAAATGACCTGTGGACATCTTGCTGCAATCATTCTTGTGCTGCACTCATGCAGTCCAAACACAAGAGCTTGAATGAACCCAATCAGAGGCCTTTTTGGACTCAGTCTGAGCCTTAGAAACTGTTTTTAAGTCAGTACTGTAATTCTGTTTCTAGAAATATACCAAGTTGTGATTTTGTTCAGAGACACTGTGTGTTAGCGGTGGAAGGGTAGAGCACTTGGGTCCCCAGAGGTACCAGTTGATGGAATTTCTGCAGCTGTGTTGTGTTGCTGAGCATTGGTTGTGTGCACAGGGGTGTGTGAAGGTGGAGCAGTGTGGACTGGAGGCTATAACTGTTGGCAATTCTTTAAACAACATGCAAAATCCACTTGTTGAGTAGGTTATTTGTATTGCTTCCTGCTGTCCTTGGCTCGCTAGTCCTGCTTTAACTCCACTCTGACAAGATCTCAAAGGGTCTAGAATCTGCTGTATGTTTTCCCAGATTTGGGGGCAGGGAGGGAGCTGCTGGGGAAAGGCTGGACAGGTGGGTTGGGTTTGCAGTTGCATGGAGCTGTTAAGAACCAGCAGCACTAAAGCCCTGTCCTGTGTCCTCACCAGCCCCACACACCTTGTCCAGTGAGAGAAGCTGTCAGTGGTGCCCCTCTCATCCTGTGCCTGAGCCATGGAACTGTCAGGGGAGTTAAACTGGAAAACCTCCCTTGCTTTGGAGGGATGTGATGTTCTTTTAGTCACTTGGATTTGTTAAGTCTTCTGTATTGATTGATCTGTATCAGAATTTTTTTTTTTAATGTTTATTTTTGCCATGAATAGATACCTCAGTCAGGCTTTCTAACTTCAGCTCCTTGAAACTCTGAATATTCACTGTACTACCTGGAAGCAGGAGGCCTACAGACATGGCTTAGCATAAGAAACTGGTGTTTCTGAGCTGCTTTGTGTCATAGTCACTACTTCAGGTGGACTAGAAATTGCGTTAGACTTGCAAGAGTTGAGTCAGGCATGAGTATTATTTAAACAAATTTATTGAACGAGTTCAGCATAATACCCAGGCATTATACCTTTTGATTTCATTTTAGAAAGAGATTATGTGATTTTATTATAGGAGGAAGACAGCTTGATTCATTTGCAATCTTCCAGTATCTTTCTCTAAGAACAAAGGCAGCTGACTTGGGCTGTCGTTGGCGGGTAAATATTCCCTTCTTGTTCCCCAAAACACGTGTGGTCCCTGTAGAGAAGTTACAAAATAAAGCAAGTAAATATAAAATGCTCTTCTATCCCCTACTGTGAATTGTTAATGATGTATGTGCTCAATCAGGTTAGGTGGAAGAGACCTCTGCACTTTCTTCTACCCAGGCAGGTACGACGGGGAACCCGGCAGCTGCAATTTGCGTCATCTTGGCAGGATTAATTGATGAAGTGAGCAATACAGCTGCAATCATGGTAGCTACAGCTGGCAGGGCTGTGAGTTGGTTCAGGTGTGCCCAACCACCTGATCAGTATTATATTAACAGGGGATGTTCCTTCTGCCATTAGTTCACCTTGGAATTTGAGGGTGAACATGTTGATTACTGTGTGACTGTACTGTCTTTCCTGGTGTCCAGGTCCTTGTTTGCCTGTTTTAGTTTTCATGGGAAACTAGGAAAGATGATCACAATCTGTAGAGAGACTGGAACTGCATATA